AAAAAAAAGCCCTGGGTTTATTTGGCAAACCCTTCTGAATAGGTACACTACTTATGGGAGTTCCAAACTCCATGAACAGCGAAGGATTTCAGGAACAAAATCGTGCTATGGATAGCCCCTTAGGTCATCTCGATCCATCCAGATTCACTCACATGGTTGTTGATCAAGTTGGTCTTGGCGGAGCAGCCGTTCATCCTGATAATGACGGTTTCATGGTCCCAGGGCCTCCCAGTCAGGTAGAGTTTTTAGTTTTGCTACTTATTAATTTAGTATTCAATTTCGCTTGATCAGTGGGCGAATTTAATGCAACTTAAAATTTCTCCCAAGAAGAGCTCTCCCATGAAGCTTTAATGTTATGCTCACCTCGGAAAGGTATTTTTTGGTTTTTGCTAATCGCGTAAAACTATACATAGAAGCAAAAATTATTGTTTCAATGTTTTCTAACACCTTGTTAAACTTGTCTGAACCCCACAGGAAGTTTCTCGAGACTGAAGTTGGAGATTTTAAATCAGCCTCACTTGAATAAAAAACCAAATGTGCTCTCGAAAACTATAAAGTTCAATCCGCTTGTACTGTGTTTGTTTACCTTCAGTAATACTATCGTTTAGTTATTAAATATTATGTATTTATGCTTCAAGGTCCTTTACTTCCAGCAGCGGCCACGTTCGTCTCCCGTCTCTAGTCCGTCGGTTATGTCCTCGCCTTCTAGAGGTGTGTTATACGAGTCTCATTTTCATCGTGTCATGTCCTTAATACTCTTTTGTTCCCTTCATTTTCAATCTAAAATGGAATTAATTTTTTTAGTTTTCGCTTTTTTAGTTTTCGCAGGTAAAAAAATAAAACACTCTATTTTTGATAGTAAATGGATTTACGGGGAACCTATTCTACTATTCTCAGTTTTCGAGTTGCTACTATTGCTGGAGGAAAATCACCCATCGAAAGTTTGGTTGGCCAACCATGGGAATGAAGTTGGGACCCCAAAAATTACTCCTCTCATCAAACCATGAATTTTCATGTAAAGTCTGCCTTTTCCGCATATAAACGTACTTAATGCCAGCAGAACATTATCTAGGTTTTTTTTTCGTTCAAATAGTTTTCACTAGGATTACCCCTAAAAGGTTGCATTATGCTTTTTGATGAAAATCATTTTGTAACTGGTCCCCTTCAGGAATACAATCCGACGTTGCTGGAAGTTCTCACCCTTAAAGAACTTTTGGATAGATCTGGAAGCGTCGAATATGTTCCTTTTCTGAATAGTCTCCAATATTCAGCCTCTAAAGAGTTAAAGCGACTCACCCGTTCATAGATCGCCCGTTCTTAGGAGGGTCATATGCAAATCGGTTAGAGCTTTGGAGGTTAGTGGCCGAAGAAGCGACAACTGCCGAGTAATGAACCATAGAACTGCAGGAGTTGCCATCACACCCACACCAGCAACTCATTGCGAGACTGAGACACAGAGAGCCCGCAGCAGAGACATAGCGTAGGCTGGATGGGCTATTTCTGTTCCTCTTATGAAGCTAGTGTTCCGTTGGTCACGGACAGCAACTGTTCCTTTTCTCTCAACCAATCGGAACGAAAATTTGCGATGGCTTCCCAGTCCTGACGCTCTTTTAACCATAAAGTTACCAAGGGTGTGTCATATAATGAGGTGGTCCATGGCTCATTTACATTTTTCAGCATTTCAAACTTTCTGTTCATCAGGGTCTTCAGCTTTCATATGGGTGTTCAGCATCCATTTCTTTCATGTTTCCTCACTTTCTTTTTCCAAAAAATTTTCTTTTAAAATTTACATAATGTGACATTTAAACCATACCTGTACGGTCGTAAAACTTAAGGGGTTATAGTGTTAGTGAACGTGTCACTGGCCACATATTAAGGTCTTGGGATACACGTAGAAAGCTAAAATAATGACAATAAGTAAGCGGACTCAACATGTTGCTTCGAACACTGAGTCTGTTGGCGAAAAGGGAAGTTTAGGTCTTCAAATTTTCCTATACTGTTGTGATGGCTGGCTGTTGCCCTTTTTTTCTATCATTATTGTATTGTTATCGTTTTATTTAGGATGTCATGGTATTTCAGTTTCTTTTTCTAGTATTCTTTTTTTTAAAGCTCCCTTTTTGTTTCCCTTTGCTGCCTGGCCACGTTCAAAATGGGTTTTCTATCAAGAATTTTTCTCGCTGCCAACCAAAGGCATGTCTTTTAAACATGTGATCTCATCAAGCAAATAAATAATCGAACAAATAGGTAAACATGAAGGTCTGAACTGAATTTAATTTTTTCCCTTTTTGAAACCTGATGTTCGCGTCCACGGAAGAATTTTATTCTACAAATGTTGCTACAAATATTTATTAGATAATCTAACGCGTTAAAGAACATGCCNCTAAAATAATGACAATAAGTAAGCGGACTCAACATGTTGCTTCGAACACTGAGTCTGTTGGCGAAAAGGGAAGTTTAGGTCTTCAAATTTTCCCATACTGTTGTGATGGCTGGCTGTTGCCCTTTTTTTCTATCATTATTGTATTGTTATCGTTTTATTTAGGATGTCATGGTATTTCAGTTTTCATGTAGTTTTTTGAAACCTGATGTTCGCGTCCCACGGAAGAATTTTATTCTACAAATGTTGCTACAAATATTTATTAGATAATCTAACGCGTTAAAGAACATGCCGTCCTTCGACGATTCGGCTTCATTGAAAGGGACTATTTTTAAGCCTAATTTTGAAACTTTAAGGATCCTTTGCAGAAAGACGTCGTAAGAAAAATTTGCCTCAACCTTGGGCGAATAATGTGAACAGCGTCTTAACAGCTGGCGTTGCCTGGGCGTCGCATCCTGTTTGTCATGCATAGCGCCTTTTCAGAGGAATTGAGTGTATCGTTTTCTGAGCCGTTCAAAAAGGATAACTGGTTGCTATCCAACGTTCTGTGGATTCTCTTTGTGCGCTTTTTTCTATGAACACTCATCCTCTTTGAAGACCGGCTTTTTTAGACTTTTTACTGCAAAATTGGCCATGAAGGTTTTTTTGAATAGGTTCCCTCTCTTTCAGGCATGGACGGTTGTGCGCAAATGCAGCCTCGTTTGGGTACGCCGACGAATGTGATGCATATGACGCCAGGTGCGTTTTCACTTTCTGTGAAGGATGCCAGCATTTCGTTAAGAGAAATTTCCAGCCTATAGGTTACTGTATATGCATTTCATAACAGCTAACTCAAGAGTTTGCCCTAACTTGCTTATGTTCGATCAGAGTTTAAATGGCAATGGCTATAAGACTGATAATATTGAACCGTACCTTCAGTATGATCCTACTCAGGTGCTATTGGAAGCCCGTCTATCTACAATGCACCGATGACACCACAGCAGATGGTACAGCAACAGCAGCAGCAGCAAGGAATGATGCAACGTCAACCAACTCCGACAGGACAATTTGATCAGAATGGAGGATTCACTCAGCAGCAACAGGTGCAACAGGGATATCCCCAAGGGATCTCGGAAAGCCCAGGTGAGGGCAATGTATTTGATTTTGGATCAAGTTAATGGTAAAATCGTGGGGCTAGAAAAGAGCTGTCTTTCAGCTGGTTAGGGGCCTTTTTTGGCTTTCCCCAGAAACTTATGCGTCCACAAAGTAGTTCCATGCTCCGTATGAGAGCTCTCTAAGCCAAAAATTCGTTGAAGGTTTTATTAATCTCTTTGTTCAATGCGTTGAATAGTCTCCAACGATCATGCTGTTGTTCCTTACATTATCCCAGCATACACAGTTTGATGCAGTGCTGTATTTTTTGTAAATAATGAAAAATGTGATGAAAACATTTTTTTTATCTCATTGCTTGTCATTCGAGGTCACAGGTCCAAATATGATGCCACTGACCCCTTTCCTAAATTGTCAAGTACTTTCTCTCAATTGAATTGTTTTTTTCTCTATTTGAAAACTTTGGTCGACTTCTAGGAGCTACCCATATGCAACAACAAATATTGGCTGGAGGGCAAGGGAATGGTTCGCCAATAATGTATGCCAGGCAGCCGCAACAAATAATCGGACAACAACAACAACAGCAGAATTTGCAGCAGCAGCAAATGGCTGGCCAACAGACGACCATGGTGGGTCAACAGGCAAGATTTATGAGAAATACTGTATTTTGATGTGAGAAGCATCCTAGTATATTACGCTTCCGGAAGTTTTCTCTTTTCGGTTGCTGTAATATTCTCTTGGTTATTGAATATTTGTGAAATTCGTAGAAAAACAAGTGAGACGCTTGATAAAGAAAGGAAATCTACCAGAAATTCTGGAATATCTTTGCATTTGAAATGTAATTTATCAGAAACCACCTGCTAAAATTGTTCTCGAACTTCCCAAATATCTTTATGAATTGGGAACCCTTGTAAGTTTGCCATTAACAGGGATCCTTACTATTTTCTATTTCTCCTCCTAAAAAAAATTCATTACTGTATCCCTTAGCGCTGGCGACTGCTAGAAATCAACTGTTCCAAAGTAGCGTCTCCAAAGCAGATTTGTTTTTTGTCCATTTACCTTTTTATTGCAGGTGGTGGTACAGCCACAGATGGGCATGATGGTTAGTAGTAACCAACAGTATTATCAACAACAGAACCAACAAGTGCAGTGGACACAGCAACAGCAACAGGTTAGCGATTGATCATTTAATTGAACACCTTGATAACTGCTCCAATAGCCATCGCTTGCATTGTCTGAAAGTTCTCAGCTGCTCATTTCAAAGCCTAAGTATCTGCCCCCCGCTCAACTCAGTAGTCTGTTTGGCATTTCTCGAATAATCGTGATTACACAGCAATGCCCATTTTCTATTGACTTTGGCTTGCATAATATTTATTTAGATTTTTCTACGGCTTGTCAAAAGTTCGAAACATTTCAGATGCAACAACCACATTTTGTCCGTCAACCTCAAATGATGGGAGCAGTGCAAACGCAACGAGTAATTATACAGCGAGTACCATATCCACCTGGCACAGGTACAGATTGATTAAGCACTTTTTGTTGTTGCCGTGTTGTTTTTTTGGATGCTCTCATGGTTCAAATACACTTCTGATGATCTCACATAACTTTAAGCGATCCATTTTGAAATAGACGGTAAAATAGTTGGTGAAGGAGTTTCAAAAGTAGTTTTTGAAGGCAAGGCTTCACTATTTTTTTCTTTTTTTCGTACCCTTTGCGCTCATATCTTCTCTTCCTTATTTGACGTTTGAATTTCCTCAACATTTTGGTGGTTTGAAGTTGCATCCGTGAAAATGTCTGGCTCGCGTGCAGTCAGTGGATGAATATTAAATGCCAGGGTGTAATGTAACCTAAGTATGCCTGAAGACATTGAAATGATATAGGGAACTACGAACTCTCATTTCACTTTGCATGGAGCATGGCAGTCAAATCAAGTTATTGTGGCCATTTACGGCTATTGCGAGAGCATTCTTCGAAGTTTCTTTATAGTCCATAAATAGCATGCAAACGTCTGAGCTTTGTTTTCTTACCATTTCGTGGAATGCTGCCATGCTGCAGAAATCAGAAGAAAGTCCATAATTTTTTTGCCCTCTCGAACAGTTGCTATCAATTTTCCAAGCCTGTTCTTGTGCAACAGGCGACTTGTACATTTTGTCCTGCTCACGAGAGTCAGGAGTAGTCCAAATTTAAAGCCTTTACCTCTACGGGTGCTTCCGATCGTCGATTTTCGGGCTCTTTCCCTAGTTTCAGTGTTTCGCTCGTCCATTTTTGAGACGGTTACACTTGGTTGTGCATCAGGAAAGCAAAAAATTTGCATTAACCGTAGATTACATAGTGAACTTTACTACCTAAGTAAAATATCGCACATTTTATACCATGCTATCCAATATTTAAGTCATTGCTCCGTTCGTTACTTGTGGATGTCCACGAAAATGCTTTCGCTCTCACTGGGAATTTCTTCAGCGCTTGCCGAGGGCCGTAATAGTCGTTGTAAAATTCTGTTACGACATTGTTTCGTTTCGGTTGGTTAAATGGATGTCTCGGATTACCGCGATCCTTTAGCTCTTCATTTCGATGTGCTATTTCCATGTATCTACTTGGCTAGGTCCATTTATGATGAATAGGAATTAAGCTTCGGTTCATATCAATAATTTAAGTATCGCCTGTCACCTTCTCCTCTCTAGGATGTGTTTTGTTTGAAATTCTTTTTTCTTGAAGGTTGAGTAAGTCTTCCGATTTGATAGGAAAACGCGGGTGCTGCACCATAACGAGATTATTCGTGACGTCTTGAACCAACTTCCTGGACGTCCAATTCCTTAGAGAGCGCCTTTTCGAGACATCTGCGCGTCCACTTCAGTAATTCTTTGATGTGTGTATGTTGCTTAGCCTAGCCTCGCAGATTTTGTGGGTTGAAAATTTTTAGTAACTCGTTTTTGAGCGCCTGTTCATCACAACTTAGTTTCCCTACTCAGTAGGTTGCGTTGTCACCAGAAGGAGTTGTCTGAGAAACATTCGTGACGAGGTCATTAAAACCTCAAATTAGGGCCATTTCTGCGCTCGAAATTTTCAATGGAAGAAAAGTTTGAAGGGTAATTAGTAAGAGAGAGATCAATGTTCAGGGAGGTAGGCGACTTTTTCTGTGCCTCCATTTTGTAGGGAAAGAGATGACAAGTTACCAGGGCCCAGTTTACACTGATAGTAATACTCTCTATCTCCGGGTTGGTTCAAGTGTACTTTCAATAATCTTTGGCACCACGCTCTTCGATCGACATTGGGCTTTTCTCTGTATTGAGTGAAGCCCGAATGAACAGAATTGTTGAATTTTTTCTCGAAAGAGTTGGTTGTTAGATGATTTTATCTGGTCAGCTTCCTCGATGTGCAGTCAGTTTATCGCGATATGAACCGCCGCAGCCATATTGTTCCTTGCCCTGCCAGATGTGTGCATCAGTCGTGGTGAATGTAATCGTTCGAGTCAAACTGCTTGACATTATTTGATTTTTCACGGGTTTGCTCTGCTTAGAATTTCTTCTTGCTTTAGGAAGGGTGAGCTTGCCGTTGCTTGACTTTTTTTTGGTTTTATTCAGTTTCTGAGTTGTAAATGTGTCAGTTGTCGATGCTGGCTTTTCAAGAGTTAGAAAACTGCATTATATGTAGAGCACTTCGAAATCGGCTCCCAGTCCTCCGCAACGTGATTAGATCTTGGACGTCGTCGTTCTTACTACCCTCAATTGATTGGAATGTCTACTTTCAATCAGAGCTTTTATCTCTCACACTGGCATTTTTTTGTTGTTGTTCCTGTTGGAAACAGATGGGTAGGATAATTTGTGTGTCTATTGCGCTGCTAAGGCAAACTTGTGGAAGGAATCTGGCAAGTTTTTCTTCTAGCAAGTTTTACTACACGTTCTGGTTGATTCGTTTCGCCTTTCATCCCTTAAAAGGACTAAGCCCTCTCTGCTGATTAGAGTAGAATNAGTGAATGCATTCATGCATGAAGGCCGTGGTTGGCAGTAGTTCGTAGCGTCAGCTTGGCTGCCTCCATCGCAGATAACTCTCATGCCTCCGTCTCTTCATCTTTTCTCGTGATTCGAAATGTTAATATTACCGGGTACTGTAAATACCTGAATATGTCTGATTGGGCCAGAAAAGAGCGTTCACCAATGTCTCACAGGCACGAAACGCTAGTGAGTGCTCTTTTCTGACCCCATTAGACATACATATTTACGGCAGGGTAGCTTGGATAGAGTGCATGCATTCTGGGGGCTTTGGGATGTTTTGCTTAAGTCTGAGCGGTTGGGAGAGTTTGGTGGGAGATGGATGGAAACACGGTCTCTTCACTATGGGCTCTATTCTTCTATAATAGTTTGCATCTTATCTGAGTCGTATTTCCCACGTTCTCACTTAATATGTGGCAGTTTATTCTGTTCATTCCCGCACAAGAAGCTCTTATGTTTCCACTAAAAATTTGTTTCTATCTAAGCGTCCGAGGGGTGGGCATTTTTAGCCCTTCATCCCTTGTTCATTTCTTCGTAACCAAAATACTATACTATAATATCAGTTATTGTTACACTCTATAGTAGATCGTCTCTACGGCACTTGTCAAAATTTCCTAAAGATTCCCACAACGGAGGTTTGTGAACTGGCCATCACTGGTCGAAATCTGCAGTGTTGGATATGTAAGGTGAGAGGGCATTGTTCAAATGCAGCTATTGAGTGGGTATCGTGCACTTGCAAACTGACACCTCCTTTCGTATCAAGTTCGGGTTCATAGATACTTGTGTATGCTTTGTACCGGCCTGCATCTCCGGCCGTCGTAATAATTTTGTATTAAAGAACTCGCGCTGTTTTTTTTTTCGAAGGATTCCTGCTGAAAGGTCTTTCTTACCAAAGGTTTTGAGTGACCCAGGCAAATTTTGAGCTCATGCAGCAGCTGATGCCTTTATATTTCTCTCTATGAGCGTTTTTATCTTGCAGTCATATATGTGTATTCGTTGAATGAGGCCATTGTTGGAAAGGCAGTGTTGCTTCTGTATTTTTGATTTGAAAACAACTTTTATCCTCTTTTATCAAAGTCGGTTTTTNTTTTTATATCTGCTACCACTCACCCTAATACTCTTTCCGATAGATTAATTAATTAATTTAATTATTTATTTATTCATGCATATCATTTCACGCGTCTCGTAAGGGTAATATTGCCAGTAACTGTGGTTTTCTTATGAATAGAATACTAGAGTGCTTCCCCAGCAGAGCCAGTAAAAATGGGAAAAGTATTGGTCTCGATACTATATTATAATAGATATAGGTATTAGGTGTACTCGATGTTTAGTAAATTTTCTATTCCTAAAGTCTCTTAAAGCTCTTTTGTTGTACGAGGGCAGCATTTTCAACCTTACAAACCCGTTTGTATTCCTTGATTTACTCATAAAAAATCTTTTACGACAGGAACGGATTCGTTTTGAGAGATAGCACCTCAGGTGCTTTCCCGTCACCGTACTTTAGTATTCTGCAGTTGTCAGACGTCATAGTCTTTTTTTCAACTACTAATAATCAAGAAGCTGTTTGATTTTTATGTCTTACGGCCATCATCGTTTAGTCTTGACCAATGTGGTGAAGTATTCCTGACGAGAATGGGTGGGTGGTATCTCCGTCGTTCTAATGTTTAGAGCGAGAGATCTACTTTGTGAGGTGTAGCTAAGGCAACCTACATTGATCAGGAAATGTCATTGCTAGATGATGTCGCCTAGAAACGAGATAAATATCGTAACCTTATAGGGAAGGCTGTTGTTCAACAATACTGTTATACCGATTCCATCTTGAGAATAATTTCTTTTGCTTTGATTCGTTGTTTCGCCCTGTTTAACGAGTTTTCCCAATTGATTCAGAGAAGATGTCATCCTCTATGAAATTGGTCGAGTCAATATCATCTTGTCACCCTCTCGACTTTGAGAAATTGAAATTTTTGATCGCCTGAAGGTCTACATTTCAATAGTAGTATGTCCGGATTTACTCAGTGCTTGTTGAGATCCTTGACTACTAATGTTTTGGTCGGTCGTGAGAGTTTTCGCAGTGTAAAAGTCTAAACCATGTAGTTTTACTGCTCTTGTTAAACTGAAGGGACTGAATGCTCCATGTTTCAGCCTATCCCACTGGAATGCAAGCTGTAACGCAACAGCAGCCACAACCACAAGCAGTCGTAGTGCAGCAGGCAGGAAGACCAACTGGCGCACCACAGCAACAAACTCAGCGACCGACGTATCCTTCTGGGGCCGCGCCACAACAAGCACAGCAGTACGTCTATTCTACCGGACAGCCAGCTGGCTATCCGCAACCGCAAACCGCTCAGGCGACGTATCAACAGCAGATGTACCAGAGACAGCAGCAGGTTCGGGTTTTCTTGAACTCGATGATTCTTTTTTGATTATTTTGTAGCAAAAATCAGTTCAGAGAGATTGACCGTTGCAATTTGTTTCTCATGTTTATCCAGTAGGCTTTTTGTTTCTTTTTTTACTGCACAGCGCGAGCAGCTCTCTGCTATTTACATTTTTATAGCTTGCCTTTGCTTCTGTACTGCTTCTGTACTTCGTCTAAAAAGCCCAAATTTTGATCTATTCCGAATGCTGTCCCTTCTACTATATACACATAATGTGACTACATTTTCAAAATTCTTAGCTNGCAGACCGCTCAGGCGACGTATCAACAGCAGATGTACCAGAGACAGCAGCAGGTTCGGGTTTTCTTGAACTCGATGATTCTTTTTTGATTATTTTGTAGCAAAAATCAGTTCAGAGAGATTAACCGTTGCAAGTTGTTTCTCATGTTTATCCAGTAGGCTTTTTGTTTCTTTTTTTACTGCACAGCGCGAGCAGCTCTCTGCTATTCACATTTTTATAGCTTGCCTTTGCTTCTGTACTGCTTCTGTACTTCGTCTAAAAAGCCCAAATTTTGATTTATTCCGAATGCTGTCCCATCTACTATATACACATAGTGTGACTACATTTTCAAAATTCTTAGCTCTTGCAATAACTTTGATCAAACAGCGGTCAGGAATGGGATTTTCGAAGTTAATGCTCAACGTATTCGGTAGAATAGTAAACAAAGGATAGGGTCAGTTGAATGTTGCTCTATCAGAAACCGTATCGTGATAGTCATAATTGATCAATATAAAAATATAGATATAAAATTTAATATAAAATAAAATTAAAAATGTAAATTGAGCAAATTGATCTTTATATCTGGAGTATGAGATTCTACAACATAAAGTTAAAGTTAAAGTTTTTGGCGTCAATCAATCCCGTCTGAGGGATGCGCCCCCGCACTCGACTTCCATTCAGAATCGTAGTGGCGTAATGAGTGCGTATGTGGCCTATACAATGACTTGCGGTGGCCAGCCGATGTACAAGTCAGTGCTTTTATCCTCCCAGACAAGTCTGGTACCAATTTACCGACCCCGGAGGGATGGAAGGCTTGGTTGGCCTAGGCGGGCATCGATCCGAGATTCGAACCCCTGACCGTGCGTGTGATATAGTGCGCCACTTGCCACTACTCCACCTATTCTACAACATACTGGTTTTAAATCTAGAGGGTTGCTTCCATGTTATCCTAACTCCTTAACAGCAAATCATGTTGTTTTCAAGATTAGGTAATTGGGAGGACATGTTATTAGACGATTGTTGGAATGTTCACATATACATATATATGTCGCTCTTCGTTCTGAGCTGTTATAAGCAGAAATTTGAAGTGTTCAATGGAGGCTGCGGCAGTTCCGTTCCTCTCGGCAGTTAGACTGGTAGAGAGGTTGGTTTAATTTATCGGTAACTGGACAAAAGATTTTGGGGAAAGCACGGCCATATGTTCTGCTTTATAGGTTTCTTGAGAAATTCTCTTTTTCATTTTCGATTTTTCATATTTGGCCAGAAATTTGTTGTGAAAGTGGTATGACTGGAGTGTTTCGTTGCATTATATTTACTGTCATCGTCGTTGTTCCAACCACCCAACCGACGAACCACCATTGTCGCAAAATGTTTGAACAGCACGGTCGGTTTGAGGGGTAAAGGTTTCAGTTCGGTTGCGATCCTCAACGTTTTCGGTGCTACAGCAAATAAAACGATTTTAGTTTTGTACAATGAGTTTATTTTTTTGTTTATTACTTTCACTCGCCTTTTTTTCATTTTCATTATTTTCTTATTTTTCCCTGCATTATTTCTCGCATGGTACTGTAGTGCAGTGCTTTCCGAAGTAACAATTTACTAGAGTTGAGCTATGCCACCCAAATATTTGATACGTTGTGAAACAAAGGTGGCGAAGATGGTTTAGTAGCAAAGACGACTATCACACGTGCATGGTCCGGGGATTGGATTCCGGATCGATATTTTCCCAAACCAACAAAAGGGTTGATTGACACTTGATGTAACTGGGAGGATAAAAGTACCGACCCCTACATCAGCTAGCCACCGTAAGTAATTGTGTAAGCCGTATACTTGTTCAAATGTCACTACGATTCTGAATGAGTGCTGTATGCGTGGCGCATCCCAAAAACGAGGAAAGCTAACGAGTTTACGCCAGAAACTTTATTCTTCTCTTTCTTTCTTTTCTTTTTTGAATTATCGTTCCAAAAGAACATAGGATTCTTTTGAATCCTCATATTCTTTTGGAACGAATTCCTGCGAGGTTGAATAAGCTAACGCATATAATAATCGCTCTGGAAAATTTTCCAGCTTAATAATTGTTAACTGTAGTGACTTTGAAGGTCTAAGAGTTTTATATTTTCATCCTTCACTGTACTCACTGATGCCACTTAGTTGTTAATCTGAGTGTTCCTGTTTTCTGTATTACAGTGCAAACGTAAGTGATCTTTCAGATTCCACAACACCAACAAATGCGGCCATTTGCCTCACCACAGGGCACAATAGTTGCTACGACTCATCAAGGCGGTAAGTTCTGGTTGAATTTAATGCATCCAATTGTTATGTGCGCTTTATAATCCTGGTTTTTCTTAAAGATTAGGTAACATGAAGCTAAGACCAGTTTGTCAGTAAAATTTACTTTTTTCTTCATTTTTTTCCTTCTAGTTTGGAACAGAGAGAGAGACTCGCATTTGGAGGGCTGTCTGCACAGAGTTAGGAAGTTATTACGACTTCTAGTTATTTTTTAATTTGACTTCTTTCTTGAAATTACGGCAGATTATCGGCAGTTGAATTTTGTCTTTCATGGCAAGGAAGATTAATCTAACGAATGACGGCGATTAATAGCTTCGTCTATGTAATTCCTATCGCTATAGGTTACGGTTACCAAGGTACTTGTATCACAATTTGCTATCTGCTCGCATAAGCCTGTTGCGAGCAAAGGTCCGAAGAGCATTTTTTGATCGTGGAAATTGGCAATATTACTAGAGTACTATAAAAGTCCCAACCCGAGACGTCTTCGCCTCCTCGAGAGTGTACTAGAGAATTGTGAGTAGATTCGAGGTGGGTTGAGTTTTTCCTATTTTCATATACTTTTTTCGGAGGAAGTTTGTAAAAGAAAGGTTTGTTGCCCACTTATCGCTTTTTGCTGATCGGCTTTTTAGATTCAGGTTAGTCCCATTTTTTACTGTTTTAAGGTAGATTTTTTATTGATTGATCAAATTTGGTGGTTCGTGAAGAGAGCGAGGTTCTCCTGACTGCTTCAATGGTTTCGGGAACTCTGGGACTAGTGACTGAGTTTGTATGTATGGCACTGTGATATCAGGTTTCTGGTAGAGGTGATGGCTTGATAGTATAGTATAGTACAGAGGGGGTTGCCATAGCAGCTTCCAAGCATCCGTTTTTCTCGGTAAGGGAATCACGACTATTTGGTAATTTTGAAAAGTAGGATGGTCATGAATGCTTTCAAGTAGTTTCGCTGTTGTTAGATAGGAATCTAATTGCTGAGAGATTTTGTAGGCGATAACAAATGTACGACTGAAAGGTTATAATCTAATCGGAAGCTCTTTGCAATTAACAACAAATAAACAAGCTTTTAATCCTAATTCGAATACTACTTTATAGGGGTCATTTTTTATTACTTGTTAATAACAATTGATAACTTGATGAAATCTAACTGGTAATATAGTTGGCAAATAATTTGATAACACATATTTAATGATAATGTAAAACTTGTAAAATTAACGAAAAAATACAAATAGAAAAAAANATAATTATTTTATGTTTTTATGTTGTTTGAAATGTTTCCAAAAATACCATTGAGCTCTAGTTTTCAAAGTCTTCAGAAGGCTGAAATGCGATGTTGAAAGCACTCGGTTCAGCTATCCATGCTGAGGGTCGTCTGATCACCAATTTTGTTTCCTAGGCTCGGGATATGAGCAGTATGGCATTCCTGATCGATCACGGGTTGCTGGATGACAAATACGAATACCCTACCCAGGACCTTATCGTGATGATGGTGTATAGAAGCTGATCAACTAGTTAACCCAGACACGCGGCAATCGGCTTGTAATGGCCTACGACATCCATCAGGGTGATTGGCGTGTTAAGATGATCTGAAAAAGTGGTCTTCATCCCTTGGATAGAGGCGTGTATACTGGAGTCTTGTTGGTCTCAATTCGCATTTAATAACTAATTGCTTTCTTTCGTAAAGATTTAACTTTTCCTCAGGCTTTACTACTTCATTCCAAGCCGTACGAAGGAATTTCGCGGTAGATGCCGTTGATCATATTGCAATTGGAGTTTTTCTTGATTTCCTGATGCCCTCGTTTAGCTTCGGTCTAAAGCGTCTCGCGTAAGCCTGCGTGACTTCTCTTCATTTTTTTCTCATGGTTCATACTCTATTTTGGTTTCGTCTTCGTCAAGGACAGCATTGCCAACTACGAATGGGAAGGTCCCCTTGTATTTGATTGTTCCGATCGGCATCCTTCTTTCGTCTTCATTCTGGCTGCTGGGTATCCATTTTTTCATTCCAGCCAAAACATTATTGATAGTTTTGGCTATTTGGTCATGCTTAAACCACGACGTCTATCCTAAAACTGGTTGTGTAAAAGGACCTAAATCAATCAAGTCACGCCTGGGTCTTCTGAACTTCTGGATTTTCAATTTACACGCTTTTGAACTGTTTTTGAGCCAGTCTGTTTCAGTTCTGCTGATGAAGAGAAGTATTGAATGAATGTGAACTGGCTCAAAAACAGTTCAAAAGCCGTTTTGGCTGTAGTAGAGGACATGGCGTGACCAGCAAGCCGCTAAAAAACCCTGACCGTTCTCCTCCACCATACGAGATTCTGGGGAGTTGAAAACCAAGGTTAGAAAAGTCTTTTATATGTTTGAGTGGCTGTCATCAGACATTCTGAAGAGCTGTTTCACCGTAAAAGGTTNTCAACACGACCGTAGAATGATTTTTGCTTTCTTCCCAGGTACTTTCGTTTTGGAAAAGCTCATGTTCAAAACTAGC